CGCCGATGTCCGAAATCCGAGCCCCGGTTTGTGAGATGAACGCCGGGGCGTCTTTCCGATGTGGGTCGAAGTGCTGGTGTAGATACTTAATCTGGGAGTCGCCAATCACGGCCGTTGTGGTAATAAAATTCGGGTACTTCCACTGCATACGCCTCGAAGCATGATCGGCAGCCATGGCGTTGGCCATCGGCGTGCCGTGAAACATATCGTAAAAAGGAGGTAAATGCTTTAAAACGTATTTATTGGACGACGTTCCGAGCGGGGACCGCTCTTCATCAGGTCCTAATGTTGCAGTGAAAGCTGAAAGCCCGCCACTTTAACACGGCGGCAAAAAAAAAAAAAAATGAGGAAAGGCGAAAAAACAACTTCTCAGGACCAACCATGGGTAGACGAAGGCCGCGGCCAGGGAAGGGACCCCGCATGCACCCCCAAACAACCTCCCGCTAGGCGCCGTTGGGGCTCGGCAGTGTCCAGAACGAAACAAGGGAATAAAACAAAATCAAGTGGGCCCAAAAGCGCGCCCGGGTGGCCGAGAAGAGCCAGCAGAGACACAGGAGCAGCTCGGGCGCGAACCGAGACGCGTGATGGTTCAAGTTACACACCCAAACACCCCTCTCCACGCCCCCCCCCCCCACACACACACACTCACGTGCAAGCATGCCCCCCCCCCTCTTTTCCTTTTCCATTTTCCCTATTTTTATTTTTCTCAACGCCCCCTCCCCATCTCGCACCCGAGAGCGAAGACATTCCTCGAGGTCGTAATGATGTCCAGCGCAGGGAAAACTCTAGGCAGGGGACTCCGTCTGTTCGTTTTCCCGTCAATGGGGGGGTTCCGATGAGGTGAACCGTTCTAGATGTAAGCAGCTAAGCAGGCCGGCGCTCTCGTTAATCCCTGCGCGAAGCGTGTTAAATTTTTTAATTAGGTACGATTCCCTTTGCTCCCTTTCGCGTGCTGTACTAAATCCCGATTGAAGTATAGTTACAAATATTTTGTTTATGTGGTGTTGATCGAGACGCATATGTTTGGAGAGCGGGAGTTTGGGGAGTGTGTTAAGGTGGGACTTATGATTGTTAAATCTTTGACGGAAGGGGAGATCGGTCTGTCCAATATACGGCATGTTGCATACGCGGCAGTGCAAAAGATAGACAACATTAGCTGAGTTACAGTTATAATTTCCGTTTATCCTAAAGGTGAAGTCCGAACCGAACCGGTATTTTTTCCGGGACTGAACCCGAACCCGAACCGTTATATTGTTATCGCGATGAACCCGAACCGGAACTGAACCGGAAAAAAAATTACGGTTACCGGCTCATGTCAAAACGGTTCGGCCACGCGCTGTTGACAATGAATGTGCTATCAATGCCATTTGTTTTTTTAAGTGCCGTCAACTGACACACTCCTCGCTTACATATTTTTATTCTCCACTCAGTCTTAGGAATATAAACGCTGCATCCATGAATCTTGACAAACGCTGCATCCATGAATCTTGACATAGGAGCCAGTATTGCGCTGGTCGCGGCTTGCACGGAAGAAAAAAAATTGGAAGGCTGTGCAAAAAAAAAAAAAAAAAAAAAAAAAATCGCGTCACGGGATTTCATTTTTCTACAATCTCGTAAATCCTAAATGCTGCTGTGGGCTCATTTCATAATACGTTTCTAGAACGCGCGAGTTCTTGAAGCTTGCTTCCATCGGAATGAGAAAAGAAAAGGCTGTGGAGTTTGATAATAATGCATCCGGTTTCGTGTAGGCACTTAGAAGCTAACATATTTGTGAGACAGCGAACTCTTCTATTTTAATATTTATCCTGTTACGTCCTTCTGGCGCTGCGTTCGGTGAAGTGTTTTTCACATTCCGTATCTTGTTTAATGAAAACTTCTTTAAGGGTCTAATTTGAGTTACCGAAGGCTAGTTCAAATAAAGAAAGCTGTATTTTCTCCCCACTGTTCCTTCAATTGCTTACACGCCGAGGTGGCGGGATAGTTAGCGCGTTCTACTTGTAAGTGGGTTTGTAAGGAGGTCGCGGATTTTACAGCTACTGCGTCGGACCCAATTAGATGAAGTCCGAATGCGTAAACGTCCGTGAGGTAACCTTTGAGTGCACATAAAGAAACCATTCCTGGTAGAAATCCCTGAGCCTTACACTACGATGTATCCCCTTTCGTATGTGCTGATTTCAGATGTTTTATTTGTAATTTATTTTGATGTTGCAATTTGTCATTTATAATTTCCGAACCGGTTCAGCGCCCCGAACCGGTTCGCGGATCGAATTAATCGAACCGGAACTGAACCGGAACAAAAGAAATTTACCTGAACCTGAACCGGAACCGAACCCGTATTTTTTCGGTTCGACACACTGATATATATATATATATATATATATATATATTGGCATGTTTGGCACCCCTCAACTCACTCCGTCTTCAGGGTTCCACCTGGTCCCCCTCCTAGTGACGTAATTCGGGGTGCGCGCAGTTTCCCGTGTACTCTCTCGGGGGAGGGGTTTACGGGGGGGGGGGGGGGGTTGGTGCAGCGATTTTTGGAGTTCGATCTTTGTGGAATTTGCCCGCTGACACTTTTGAGGTAATGAACAGAAAACCGATTTCGCCTGCGTGTCCTTCTCTTCCTTTCTGTGCTGAGTTTCTTCGACTGCCACCCGCGGCTGCAAGGGGGGGGGGGGGGGGGGGGAGCTTGACTTTGGATTTGCGATTATGCAGCGGAATCGAGATTTTCTTTGATGAAAATGTTTTCTGTATCCTCCGGAATACATAAAAAAAAAACGAAAAAAAAACGTAAAAATGACGATATGGAAATTCTTTCAATCTTAAAATCGTCCCTCCTCCCCCCCCCTTTTAAGCGCCGCAGCTTCTACCACGAGCGACGTCGCAACAACGAAATTGTACTTAAAATCGTACATGTATCAAACATAAAGGCTTGATTGTGCGAAAAAGCAATCGCAAATTGCACGCAATCTTAAACATGCGGAAATTGTTTCATGCCACATTTGAGATACTAAGGTGTTTAATGCTCTCAAACAAAATATATGGGTTTATAGCTTTTTCAGAAAAGAAAGTGCAGGCGAGCTGGTTAGGAAACGATTGTGAACCCAGTATCAGGTTCACAAGCATGTCTTCAAAAGAATATGTAAGATTACTACGCAATAAATACCAGCCCCCAGTTCGTTTTGCAAAATATTATGCAGAATTATGATTATTTTCAAAATTTGTGCTAGTTTTGTGTTGTTTTTCGCACGTTTGTTTCTGCTGGAACACGCGTGCGGAAAATCAACTGACAAGTGCACAAAACTCAAAACTCAAAAGTTTCCATACTATTAAAAGAACATTCGTAGATATTGCTCGCATAGCATCTACAAATGCGCGTTTAATGGCAGCAGATTTGCGATTTGCTTGCAGTGAATACCTTAATTCTTGTTTAAGATGAGTTGAGCGATTTTCCATGCTTCGACGTTTGTCCCATTTTCGCACGGTTTTCCGCACATCTGTTTTAGCCTTTATACGGCACCTGGCTCCATAACGTTTATACTTCGTCTCACGTTAACATGGACTAACTGCGCAGGCTCTGCAAGCGCGAGCTGCTAGCCTTGTCTGGAACACTTGGAAAAATCAAAATATGAAAAAGGTTGTTTTTTTTTGTTTTTTTTTATTTATTTATTTGTTATACATACCCTCAAGCGCCAAAGCATTGTAAAGGAGTGGAGAAAAGCACAATACAAAAAAGATAAATGCCGCTAGAAAAAAAACAAGAAAAAAAAAGACAAAAAAATGACCTCTTCACAAACAAAGTAAAATATAACAAGAACACCAGTCAGAAGCATGAACAAAGATTGAGGGAATTACCAGATATAGATGCGATATCTGCGGAAAGGTGGTTCTCAACCATTGACGTTTTGCGCACCCCTTGTGGATCGGTGGAGATGATGGAGGATCCCGTTCGTGGTGAGGGAAAGGTTAAGTATGCCAATTTAATAAATGGATGTAACTAAGGGCAAGTGTCAAGTAACTTCTCTCGTTGACATACAACAAAAAAACTCACACGAAAATGTGATTTTTTTTATCAATCTAAAAAGATTTATTTTGCCGGGCTTGTCTGATGAGCCGGGGCTTCGCGGACCCCCTTGAGAACCACTGGTTTAAAGTATGCGAGATGCATGAGTAAGTGTTCGTTTTGCAACGAGTTAGTCTAACCTTATGCTGATGATCGACAAGAGTGAAAATTAGGCCCTGTACAATACTAATGTTGGCTTTGTAATAAATTGGCTTCGTAAGGATGGATCATGCAAAACTTCCTAAAATAGGCCAAGACGGACCCCTTTCGAAAGTCAGGTGCCGACTCTAAGAAGGTCGGAACCCTTGCACAATGGCGGAACAACTGCATCGAGGAACGTGCAAGTCATTTTTTAAGATACCGAACGTCGGAGCGCGGCCAACACCACGAGTCGACGAGCCAATGAAACAGCGTCGAAAGTGCAATGTCACTACTCTCATCACCTTTTTTTCTGGGTGTTTTTTCCAGTTTGCTGTGACGTTGAGGGTTTAGTCCGCCATTCTGCAGGGATTTCACCGGCGTTAATAGAAGGCAGTAGTTTGAAAGGGGTCTAACTAGCTTCTGCAGTCAAAACCAGCGTCCACGAGTGCGCATAAAAATAGCGACTGGAAATTCCGCAATAACTGCCGACTCAACAAATGCCGGAGCGGAAGTTTGTCGGCTACTTGTGCAGGGTTGCAGCGACATCAGAACGCTAAGCTGCGATTGGCTCGACTGGAAGGAGAGTAGGTAAAGCTCAAGGCAGCTAGCATCGAGGTCTACCCATTATCCGTTCAATCAGAGCTCGGCGTTCCGATGTCACAGCAACCCTCGTGAAAGAACCAGACAAACTTCCACTCCGTATTGAATGATGCTGGCGGATACATAATGATCCAAAGCAAAATCTTGGCACAAACTTGGCACAGTGTACTACAATGTCTTTTACTCCCTGAAACAGGCAATCTACGGCAGACCAATCCCTCTGGTCCTGATGGGAGCAATGTCCTTTCTGCTGGCCCTGCTCACGTTCCCGCTGCCAGAGACGCTGCACCACGAACTGCCCGAGACACTGAAGGAGGGCGAGGAATACAACCATGCACAGAACACGTGCTGCCTTTCACATGCACCACAGCTACCGCCGCCCGGTCACGGAAGAACTCGCACTTTATCTGTCATATAGAAAGGATCGCAGAGAAGTGCGTAGAAGCCCACTATCCAGACACTGTTCATCTTGCGGAGGAAGCTACCGATGCCCCGAGAGGGATTAACCACACAGGTGCTTGTACACCAGTGGTGATGAGGAGTGGTCTTGTAAACCAGGGACAATTGAAAACACCCAGTCAACTCCATCAGTGGCGGCATGCCTCGATAATAGTGGACAAGAAATGCTCCCATCTTCAAGCCATCAAGAGGCCAGTTTGAACTTCGGTTCTAAAAAAAGCAGCAAAATTGCACTATCTATATCCAGGCTGCATCCTCTGCAAGAGAGTCAAGTCAGTGTCCAGGAAAAATGTCTACCTTATCAGCTCGAGCTGAATCTGGTTCTTGCCAGATTAATGTGAACAGACGATGCTGCCTCCTCTCAAAAATGGAACAAACAAGGCCAACTTAGTTCCTTCAGTCAAAACCAGCATCCTCCAGAGTTACAGTGGAGAAGTTTACGTAAACGGAAAGGCCTCGGTGCTGGAATTCACAACTGCCCGAAGATTGTGCAATGGGACAAAACTTATTGTCCAAGTGCTTGGCTTGTTGTGGAAACCAAACCAAGGGTCTACTTGAGCTGCCATCATGTAAAAAATGTACATAGATTTCACCCTCATGAAACCCAGGTTTGCAATATTCTTAAGGTAAAACATGTTCCACTAGTGTTTTAATAAAAGCAGTTTAAAAACATGAAACATAATTTAATAAAACATCAATTTTAATAAAGAACTGTTTGCCCCTGTGCACCAAGCCAGAAAAAAGGTAACCTATTCCAAAGTTAAAGCAGCCTACTCCTAATACACCTTTTTCGAGCAACGAGCAATGTTTAGAGGATTGTCTGCAAACTACAAACAAAAAGCAGCCCCCAACGGCATACTTCTCTACCCATTTGGAAAAGTTGGAATCGTACTGCTGCATCGGTTTTTTTCGCTTCTTATGCCCCATAGCAGCTATGCACGAAAAGGATTGCCAAAAGAGATTAAACACGCACAGATAGGTGCCGGCAATGTTGGTAGAGAGAGATGGTGGCCTCCAAGAATGGCGACAGCAGAGAGCAAAGGTCAAGGGAAAGTGTGACACATGCAGAGGCCTACTGGAATAAGTCCATTGGTACCAAAAACTCATAAGAAGGGTAAACTACATGCATGCAAATCCTAGCAGTAGATAAAAAATTGAGAGCAAACAAAATACACTATTAAAGGATCATAAGATACTAAAAAAATGTTTCCAACCACCAGAAAAAAACAACAAAATTTGTGTTCTATACAAGGGCTTTATTATATCTAGATTGTACACCCAAGCAGTTGTAGTTTCATAAAGCAATTATCCGATTATGGTTTATCCGAGACACCGCGCGACGCAACATCACCGTAATTTCCAATCAATCACGACGCGATATCATTGAAATGTCGCACCACTGACGCTGTCCATTTCATCACGTCATGTAATCGTCCACCCATTTTTTTTTTCTTTTTACTGATGCACCTAATTGGTGCATCATTCTTAGACTAATTGTCTCAAGTCTTAGTCTTAATGTCTTAAGCTGCATATAAGTACAACTCTGAAATATAAGAACTGCATAATGTTGTAAAAAACACGCAATTTAGATTAATTTAGTTGTCATCAGCTGGAAGTTAGAACTGACATCAAAGGTATTTGAAAGCAGCTGTCGTCACTGACAAACTGAAAACAGCAGGGTGTGTCTTTCGAACGCCCAAACCCAATCACGTGCACAATTCCTTCCGTCGTGCTTTGGCTGCAAGCGCGCCGAAGCGTTGTTGAAGGTACTGAAGCGCCTGCCTGCCGTTCTCACATTGTCAGTGACTACAGCTCCATATTACTGATAATGCCAACTTGTAAAAAAAAAAAAAAGGATACGTTTTGATACAAGTTTTGTTTTCTGGACATAAGTTCATTATCACCTTCGATAATATATCTAATCTAAACACGATGCCCCCTTTTTTTTTCCTGTGACAGTGTTTTCCACTGTCCAGTATCTACCTCCTGAATCCCCTGCTTTATTGCTTCCTTGTTTGAACTTGCCTTTACCTTCCAGAGTTGCACCCGCACTTCCCATTTTCCTTCCACTTTCCCTTCAGTTTGGTTAATGTTTCACCGTTCCAACAACTTTAGTTTGTTTTTCAACAAGCAACCAAACCTTCTACTGTGCAGGTGCAACCACTGTCGAGACCCTGGTATTTATGCTTGCCCGAATGGCCCTGACAATGGCTTACAATGTGGGCTACCTGCACGCTGCCGAGGTTTACCCGACGGCTGTACGGTCTCAAGCCTTATCCGTGCGACAGGCCTTCGGGTCTGTCGGAAAATTCCTCAGCTCACAGGTGACACAGCTGGTGAGTTCACTTATACTTGCGCAACAATAGCCTTCTTATGCAAGCAATGAAGTCTCAATGTTGATGAGTTCATTCATGGCTAGGATGACCATATTCATCAAAGTAAAAAACGGGAAAGCGAGGCAGGGGTAAAGCACTGCTGTACCATTCGGCTCAACGTAAAAACGCACATTTTGAGTTCTTCGTCTGGAACACCAGTGCCATTCTTTCCCCCTTTTAAACAATGGGACAGAAATCTGGCTAACCAAAGCAAGCATTTATTAATACTGGAAAATTATCCTATGCAATCAAAACATATTGACATATGCAACCACAGGAAGGCTACAAAGCTGCTTCATAAAAGGTAAAATTTTCATGCTGTGTTCATTTTAATAAAACTATGTCGGTAACAGCAACAATGCACGTTCCCACGAAAGCAAGACAGGAGATTTCATTTTGGAAAAATGACGGGATGGCAGAAATTAACCCCCCCAAAAAAAAAAAAAAAAAAAAAAACTAGACTGCCGCGGCCAAAACGTGACGCCTGGTCACCCTATTCATGTCAGCAGTTTTGGAAAATTGTTTTCTAGATTTTCAGTTGGTCACACAGCTTGAGGTCCTATGCCTAATAAATACAAGTACGACCAGTGATAAAATTATGGAAGAAAAAAAAAATATATATATATTGTGAACGATGAGAGAAGAGAGTGATTATTGAATTTTATTGCATTGATGTTAGGGGAAGGGAAAAAGCTGGCGAAAACTTGGGCCAGGAGCGGACATCGAATCCCGGATTGGCGAAGGTTGCGAGTATATATATATATATATATATATATATATATATATATATATATATATATATATATATATATATATATATATATATATATATATATATATATATCGTAAAAAGGAGGTAAATGCTTTAAAACGTATTTATTGGACGACGTTCCGAGCGGGGACCGCTCTTCATCAGGTCCTAATGTTGCAGTGAAAGCTGAAAGCCCGCCACTTTGACACGGCGGCAAAAAAAAAAAAAAAAAAAAAAATGAGGAAAGGCGAAAAAACAACTTCTCAGGACCAACCATGGGTAGACGAAGGCCGCGGCCAGGGAAGGGACCCCGCATGCACCCCCAAACAACCTCCCGCTAGGCGCCGTTGGGGCTCGGCAGTGTCCAGAACGAAACAAGGGAATAAAACAAAATCAAGTGGGCCCAAAAGCGCGCCCGGGTGGCCGAGAAGAGCCAGCAGAGACACAGGAGCAGCTCGGGCGCGAACCGAGACGCGTGATGGTTCAAGTTACACACCCAAACACCCCTCTCCACGCCGCCCCCCCCCCCCCCACACACACACACTCACGTGCAAGCATGCCCCCCCCCCCTCTTTTCCTTTTCCATTTTCCCTATTTTTATTTTTCTCAACGCCCCCTCCCCATCTCGCACCCGAGAGCGAAGACATTCCCCGAGGTCGTAATGATGTCCAGCGCAGGGAAAACTCTAGGCAGGGGACTCCGTCTGTTCGTTTTCCCGTCAACGGGGGGGTTCCGATGAGGTGAACCGTTCTAGATGTAAGCAGCTAAGCAGGCCGGCGCTCTCGTTAATCCCTGCGCGAAGCGTGTTAATTTTTTTAATTAGGTACGATTCCCTTTGCTCCCTTTCGCGTGCTGTACTAAATCCCGATTGAAGTATAGTTACAAATATTTTGTTTATGTGGTGTTGATCGAGACGCATATGTTTGGAGAGCGGGAGTTTGGGGAGTGTGTTAAGGTGGGACTTATGATTGTTAAATCTTTGACGGAAGGGGAGATCGGTCTGTCCAATATACTGCATGTTGCATACGCGGCAGTGCAAAAGATAGACAACATTAGCTGAGTTACAGTTATAATTTCCGTTTATCCTAAAGGTGAAGTCCGAATTAGTACTTTTTGCCTCCACGGATTCCGTCATGTGGCTACACACTTTGCACCGCGGCACCCGGCATGGCCGGGATCCCAGGAACTCCTCATGTGTGGTTTTGGATCGTACTAGCATGTCTTTAAGGCTTTTTCCTCGACGGTAGACGACGCGTGGAGCCTGCGGAAAGACAGATCGGAGGCGCTGGTTCTGTGAGAGAATAGGGAGTTTTCGTAGATCGTTTCCGCTGTCCCGCAACGCTCTCCGCAACCAGATACGCTAGCCGGAACTCTACAGTCAAGGCCATCGGCGCGCCGGCGCAGTAGCGGCTGCTTCGTTGCGGCGGGCTTAGCGGAGGGCGAAACGCGGTCTACGAAAACTCCCTAATATTAAAGTTTTTGCGTAGGATGTTGTTGATGTTGGGGAGGTTACTTGCGTAGGTTAGCACTAAATTATACTGATTATTCTCTGAGTTTCGAACGCTTGTTTTGTTGATGGCTGTCGTGCGGTCTAGTTTACTAGCCTTTTCTATAGCATTGTTTATGACGCCTGGAGGATAATTTTGCCTAATGAGTGCTTTCGTTAGATTATCTGCGTTTTGTTTGAAGTCTTTCTCGTTGCTGCATATTCGTTTGTACCTATGCGCCTGAGAATAGGGCAAACTATTTTTGCAGTGGCGGGGGTGGCAGCTATCGTAGTTAAGATATTGTTGCCTGTCCGTGGGTCTCCTGTAGAGTTTAGTGGAAAGTTTGTTATCCTGAATTTCGACGGTAACGTCCAAGAAACTAATCGTCCGTTGCGATACGTTGTGGGTGACCCGAATAGAGGATGAGCCGAATTGTATTCCGAAATAAATGTGTTGAGTTCGT